GAGTGACATTCAGCTCACATAACCAAAAGAGGGCATCTTCTCAGCTGGAAGGGTTGTGCCCTCGCCCGGCCCAGAGTTTCAGGCTCCTGGGAGAGTGGGTCTGAAAATGAGAACTTTTTGTCCCTCACCCAGCCCCATGCAGCTCAGCGGGGCCCAAAGATACCCACGCACCCCCCTCAGCTCTGATGCGCGCGCACCATCCTCCTTTCTTCTGCTACACACCATCGCCCCCACCTGTCATCGCCACCGTCATTGTCCCCGAGCGGGATGAACACGTTCACAGGATGCCTCTCGCTTCATTTTCACAGCCACTCCTCAAGGGCAGAATTATTATCCCCGCTTTACAGATAAAGAAACCAAGGCACAAACCGAGAAAGCCACACACCCAAGGTGCTGGAGTCCCTAGGGTGTGTGAGTGAGGGAAGGATGCCAGTGCAGGCTCCAGTCCAGTCTTTATTTAAAATGGTCTTCACTAGCCAGTTGGAGTTGAACTTGCCTGGAATCCCAGCACCCTGGGAGGCTGAGGGATGAGGAATGCAAGTTTGAGTCCACCCTGGGCAGCATAGTGACTCAGCAAGATCCTGTCTCAAAATTAAAAAAAAAAAAAAAAAAAAAAAAAAAAAAAAAAAAAAAAAAAAAAAAATATATATATATACACACACACACACACACACACGTATATATGTTTAAATGTGTGTGTGTGTGTGTGTGTGTGTGTAGAGGGGGCCTTCATTGTTTCTCAGAGATTTTTGCATTAATTTTGACTTTAATAAATATTAAAGTGTGATTTATCTTGTTTACTGAATTTGTTGGCATCCAGTGGCTCCCTCACCTGACCCTAACCCCAGCCCAAGCTTGGTATCCAAGGCTGGTGACCCCAAAGCCCTGCCCTTGTCCCTTCCCAGTGCGGCCCTGTGGCCTGTGCATGCCTGTGTGTGTTCACGTATGCGTTCTTCCATTCCGTGGGCATGAGTGTGGCAGTGTGGTGCCATGGAGAGGACAGAGCTTGGGAATCAGGCAGTGGTGGGTTTGCCTGTGGCTGGAGTGTGGACTCTACCCCCAGATCACCTCTGCTTGAGTCCAAGTGCTGTTAACTAACTTCCTTGCTGAGTAAGTTTGAGTGGGTTCTTTAGGATCTTCCTGGGCCTCCAGTTTCTCCTCTGGAAAGAGGGATGATGACATGGAGTGATTGGGGCTAAGTAAGATAATTCCATAAAGCCCTTGGCACACAATCAATGCCTTGCACTGAGCCTCAGTTTCCCTGCCTGTGAAGGAGGCATGAGTAACAACCACCTCAAAGGCAGTTTGAAGGAGCTGGGAATTTCGCTCAGTGGTTCTGGCGCCTGCCTTGCAAGCACAAGGTCCCCAGTTCGATCCACGGTACCAAAAAAAAAAAAAAAGTAAAGGCAGTTTGGAGTATTAAAGGGATAACATAGATAAAGGGCTCTGCTGCATAGTAGGAACTAAAGGGAATTCGCTTCCCTTACTGTATGGACACTGTAGGTAAAGGGACACATTTATTTCAGCTCCCTGAGGAATTAACTTATCTTCAGAGATGTGATGATTCTGACTTGACCTTGCATTTCTCCAAGGACACCAAACTCTTGATCCATTGCAGGGCCTTTGCACATGCTTTTCCTTCTACTCGGCTCACTGTCCTTCCCCACTTCTACTGGGCCTAATGGATGTGTTTCTTCAAGTCTCAACTTAAATGTCTCATGCTCAAGGGAACCTTCCCTGACCATCCACCTCCCCTGCCAACCTATACAGTGTCTTCCTGTTCTCTGTTTCCATTGTTTGCTGTATTAGTCCCTTTGCCATCACTGGGACAAAATACCGAATACCCACAACGTAAAGGAGGGGAGGTATTTTTGGCACATGGTTCCGGTGGGTTTAGTCCAAAGTCAGTCACTTGGTTCCAAGGAAGAAACAGAATGAGAGAAGGCCTGGTGGAGGAGAGCTGCTCACACTATGGCAGCCAGGAAACGGAGTGAGAGGTAGTGAGGAATGGGGACAGAATACACCCTTCTAAATCGTGCTCCAGTGACCCACCTCTTCAGACCAGGACCCAGCTCTTGAAAACATATTCAGCTATGAATTCATGACTGTTAATCCACCAGTGAGTATAGTATTCCCATGACCTAGGCACCCTCCAAAATCCCCACTTCTGAATACATGAAAGGCATTCTAGGGACATTTCAGATCTAAACTATAACATATTCTATTATTTTCCTTCTCAGCAAGTTCTATCAAATGCTTTTTATTTTAGCTGTATTTGACTTGATAGTGAGGGCTGTCTTGTCTGCAGGAGTTTCAGTCATGAGCTCCTGGCCAAGCACGAAGCATGCTCCAGAGTAGTGCTGAAGTATCCAGAGTGAGCGCTCAGAATCTCAACTCCTGTTCTTCCCCACTCTGTGACCCTGGGCAAGTTATTTAACCTTTATGTGCCTTGCCTTCCTTTTCTGTAAAGTAGGGATACTAACAGCGCTGGCTTCCTTAAGTGTGATGATGATGATATGAGATAATCTTTGTAACTCTAGTTGGGCTAGACACCTGAAACAAACAGCTCTCAAGTCTCAGGTGCCTAATGTGATTGATGTTCAATGTTTGCTCCTGTCACATTTCAGTGTGGGACAGGGAGAGAGGTCCTTGCTCTGTTCACTCAGACTCAGGTTCTTTCCACTGCATTTATTAACCTGGAGTCCACCAGGGGTTCTGTGGATAGAATTCAGGGTATCTGTGAACTTGAACTGTATTTGAAGTTAAGGTCTGAGAGGGGGATTTGTCAGCCAGTGATTTATGGAGGGGGTGCTGTCAAAAGAGGGGAGTGAGAGAAACAGGAGGTAATGGGGAAGGAGCTGAATGGGGTGCCTCACCTGAAGACCCAGTTCAGCCTGGGGCAGTGGTGGTGAGCCTGTGGCATGAGTGCTGCAGTGGGCTGTTTGTGTCATTGAAACCCTAAAAGGTTCGCCATCACTGGCTTGCGGCACAGGGGGCTTTGGAGCAGGAACTGGACCCTGTGGTTGGAGTGTGTTGCTCTTGGGAACGGGGGCCTGGCCAGTTTCAGCGAGGCATTGGTGGGGCTGAGAGATGGGGGAGTGGCATTGTAACTTCAGGAACAAAGTGGCTTCTGTCGGTGGCAATTCTCTGGAGTAGCAATGAGCCAGTAGCAGCCAACACCCTGGAAGCTCGATGGTGGGTACATTTGCTCAGCAAAAGGACCCGGAAGGACACTAAATGTGTCTACTACAGTGTAGGCAACAGGGAGAGGGGATGTCACTAGAACCTCTGCAGTAAGTCCTAGTCTCCTGCAAGCCATGACAGCACAAGGCGAATTAGTTTATTATATAGGAAAGGTAGGAAAAATGAGACTTGGAGAAGAAGCTGAGCTTTGGCCTGATCCATGCTGCTCTGGGCAGCAAAGACCAAGACCCCGAGCTTGCCACCCCTTTATTCAGAACATCAGCAGAAATGAAAGTAGCAAATGACTCAGAGGGTGCAGCGGATGATCCTAGAACAATGAGAAGCTATGTGGATGAAGATTTGGTTCCTCCCAGGATGTCTCCAGCTGGTGTAGTCCTGCCTTGGAGCATCACAGCATCTCTGGACCATTGAGGTCTTAGCTGTGACTGAAGACATAAAAACAGTTATGTCCTGATATGTCTTGGCTGGCTTGTAGACAGGGAAACGGCCCTAATCATGATTTAATTATGAAATGATTTTCCCTCAAAATCATGTAGAATTGCTCCCGACACCACAGGGAATAACTGTGTCTTTATTTTAACTCACCTCAAACTGAAATTTAGCATTTTCTTCAACAATAGAAGTAGGCAATAAACCATAGTTACAGCAAAACCTGTGACTTTGTCATGAAAGAAATCACATGGATTTTTGGTGTCACATTACTATTATTGAAGTATCTTTTATCTGTACTTTTAAATGATGATAGCAAACTTGATAGATACTTTAATGTGTTAATTAAGGATGTAAATTATTATATTACAGATCTATTATTTGAAATATCTGGTCAGCATGTCAATATAACTGCAGCACACAGCCCCCCCCCCTTTGGTTTTTGAGACAGGGTCTCATTATGTAGTTCAGGCTGGCCTTGGACTCACTATGTATCCCAGGCTGACCTCAAACTCACAGAGATCCTCCTGCCTCAGCCTACGGAGTGCTAGGATTGGTTACCAGCGTGCACCACCATGCCCAGCCCTGCAGCCCTTTTTAACACTATGTACTTTATGGGTTTTAAAACATTGTCCTAAGAAGGGTCCACAGGCTTCACCAGACTGCCAAAGGGACCTGTACTAAAAGAGGTTAAATACCCCATTCTGGGACCTTGGCTTCTATATTCAGCCAGAAACGGGGAAAGTTTTGGGGCCAGGCCTGGAAATAGCAAACCTCAGTTCCTCCCACCATGTATTAGTCAGATTGCAGTTACTTCACCACACCTAAATACAAGGGAGGCTGGGAAATGTCCGTGTGCCCAGAAAATGGAGGAAATGGTCAGGGGGATACACAACATACTGGGCCATGGGGCTGGATAGTCACTGACAGCACAGATCAGTGACGGTGAACCTTTTAGAGACCGAGTGCCCAAACTGCCACCCCAAATCCACTTATTTATTTTTATTTTTTATTTTTTTGGTACCGGGGATCGAATTCGGGTCCTTCTGCTTACAAGGCAGGCAGCGGAACCACTGAGATAAATCCCCGGCCCCTCCACTTATTTATTGCAAAGTGCCAACACTGCAGTTGAACTTGAATCTTAGGCAACTGTTGTCCAGTGCTCGGCTGCTGGAATGATGTGGCCCACGAGCCAACAGAGAGGCCTCTGCGTGCCTGCTGTGTGTGGCCAGTGTGCCATAGGTTCGACACCACTGGCCTAGATGAAAGGATGCTGTATCCAGGTGTCTCTTTGTGGGCTGGGGAGGAAAGGCAGGGAGCTGGTTCTCTGACAGGATCCTAAATCTCCCGCCATGTTTTCTCCTTAGGACAAGCCACGCCAAGGCCAAAGCTGAGGCAGCAGAGCAGGCCGCCCTGGCCGCCAACCAGGAGTCCAACATTGCCCGCACTTTGGCCCGAGAGCTGGCTCCAGACTTCTACCAGCCAGGTAGGGCAGGCCAGGGCTGGAAGGGGCAGTTCCCGGAGTAGGCGCTTTTCTTTGCTTGCTGCTCATGAATGCTTCTGGGTTTTGGAAACTCTGGGACATGGTACAGAAAGGGGAGGAAGGGGCAAGGGAACATGGAGAAGATCCCCACCTTCCTGCCGAGACTGTGCAGGTGGCGTTAGCAGAAGCTGCCACCCCAGCCTGGCTCATCTCACGATTCTGAGCAAGACAGACAGTTGGCGCTGGTGAAGCTTAGAGGAGGAACAGGTCTCTGGTGGATGAGGGGGCAGCAGAGCTTCCTGCTCTGTTGAGAGCAGGAAGAGTTGGTCAGGCATTGATTGAGCAGTGCCTGGGTTGTGCAGCTGGGGCCCAGAATCTGGAAGAAGAGAATGTATCAGAAAGGCAGCGTAGCATGGGATGAGGCATACAGACCATGTGTGCTCAAATCCTGACTCCATTGATTACCAAATGTGAGACCTTGTGCTTGGTCAACGGTAAGCCTCACATTCCTGATCTGTAAGATGGGTGTAAGAGTAGTCCCTACTACCTTTTTTTTTGGTGCTGGGATTCAAACCCGGGGCCCTATGCTTGGCAAGTACTCTACCATTGAGCTACACTTTGAACATTAAGTATGTACATGTAAAGTCCACAGTAAGCTGTCAGTGACTGAGCTGTTGTCTCACTGTGCTGATTAAGTTTCACACAGCACCATGGGTGAGGTGAGAACAGGACCATGGGAGCTCATAGGAAGTGCTTCACCTCTGGAGGCAAGAGGAGGTGTTCTGGGAGAGGCCATCTGGGCCACATCTTGAAGGCCACGTTAGGTCAGTGGGTCTCGAACTTGACCTAGTCTGTGGGACCCGCCAATGAGTTCCTGATTTATTGGATCTGAATGGATCCCATAAATATGTTTTCCGAACAAGGACTGGGTGCTGCTGTGCCACACTTTGAGAACTGCCACACCAGGTAGCTCTGGGAGGGACAGGTGACTTAAGAGGAGGTGCAGAGGTGCAGGTGCAGAGGCATGGAAACTTGGAGGAACGTGGCTTCTGGGAAGCTAGATGGAGAGCAGGCAGTAGGCAGTGAGGAAGGAGGCTGCACAGTGAAGAGACCTCCCACAGATCCACAGATCGCATCTGGCAGAACAACAGGAGCCCCGAGGGCTGGGGCTAGTGTTCCTGCATGGGAAGGGTTAAGAATGACAGGGTGAGTGTTTGCTAAGCATTCTTTTGGCTGCAGCAAGACCAGAGGGACACTGGATGGAAGGCAGGAGGGCAATGTGCCGGCGGTGGCTGCCCACCGGATGACCCATCGCTTGTAGTCACAGTGCTCCCCCTGCTGGTCGCAGGAAGTACACCGACGTGCCTTGGGCGAACTCGGCAGTGGCTGCAACTATGCCAGCGCTGAGCCCCTCGTCTTACAAGCATTTTCTCCGTTAACCCTAACTACAGTATGGAATAGGTATGATTAGGCTCATTTTTACCCAAGGGAATGGAAAGAGACCAGGGTCACAGTTGAGACCTTTGATCACCTCTGCCCTTTGCTGTGTGACATCGGGCAAGTGATTGAACCTTTGCGGGTTTCCCCTTTTTCCCCTGTAAAATGGAGGTCCACAACAGCGCCAGCCTCGGGGTGGTTAACCCAAGTGCGCTCAGACTAGTGCCCGATCCTTGGCACCGAATGCTGGCCGAATAAATGGGGCCCAGAGGATTACGTGCTGGCCCAGGATCATCCAGTTGCGGGGCCGGGTTCAAAGCCAGCCTCCCCATGTTGTCCCTGGCAGGTCCGGAATACCAGAAGCGACGGCTGCTCCAGGAGATCCTGGAGAACTCGGAGAGCCTGCTGGAGCCCCCCACGCGGGACGCGGGCGCCGCGGGACCCCCGGAGCGGGCGCGCGAGAGCCCGCAGCTGCACGAGCGCGAGACCCCGCGGCCAGAGGGCGGCCCCCCGTCGCCGGCCGGAACACCCCCCCAGCCCAAGCGGCCGCGGGCTGCGGCGGCCAAAGACGGCCTGCTGGGCCCGGGCGCCTGGAACGGCGAGCCCGGCGGCGAGGGCAGCCGGCCCGTGACTCCGTCCGAGGGCGCGGGCCGCCGCAGCCCCGCGCGCCCGGCCGCCGAGCACATGGCCATCGAGGCGCTGCAGGCCCCGCCCGCGCCTGCCCGCGAGTCCGAGGTGGCCCTGTACCAGGGCTACCACAGCTACGCGGTGCGCACCGGGCCGCCCGAGCCGCCGCCCTTCGAGGATGAGCCCGAGCATGAGGAGGCCCAGGTCCCCGGGGCCGACTCGGCGCCCTCATCCCCGACCGCAGCCTCCGCCCAGGCCCCAACGGCCCGAAGCCCAGAGCCCACGCCCCAGACCCCGGCCAAGCTGGAGCCTAAGCCTATCGTCCCCAAAGCCGAGCCCAAGGCGAAGGCCCGCAAGACGGAGGCCCGAGGCCTGACCAAGGTGGGGGCCAAGAAGAAGGCTCGCAAGGAGGCAGCGCTGGCCACGGAGGTGGAGGTGGAGGAGGTGAGGCCAGGCCGAGGGCGCAGAGGTGCCCAGGTCCACAGGGCCTGAGGCAGAACTGGGCGAGGGAGAGCTTGAGGGACGGGGAGGGGGTGAAGCAGGACAGGGCGGGGCTGTGGCATAGTCCGTAGGAGCCTTGGCCTGGGCCCGGAGAGGGTGGATGCACAAATGACAGGGGAGAGCCCTCCCGCCTGGAGGCAGGTACCCCACCACCTGGGGTCCCATCTGCAGGGCCCTTCTCAGGAGCAGGGACAGCTGAGGACGGGTGCACCTGCTCCATCGGGGGATGTGGACTGGGTGCCAACAGCATCTGCTGGGGTGCAGCAGGAAGGGCCCATGAGGCTTGGGTTCTGGACCTCTGCCAGTGGGAAACAGGAGCTAGCCACTGCAGCAGCGGACACTGAGGCGGGGCTCTGAGAGACTACACACTGCCGCTGGGGAGGGATCAGCAGCGGGAAGGCCGGTGAGCTGCATTCCAGGCCCATGCTGTGGTTTCTTTCTGGACTCCCAGAGCTTGGGTTAATGATTCCCAAGAATCCTTCAAGCTCTCGTGGTCTGTGTCCAGGGTGCAGGATCCCACAGAACAAACCAGGTGATGCTCTTGGGAGATCGATCCTTCTGGAAGTTCCTGCCCCTCTCCCCAGGCTGTAACCTGGGTGGGGGTTGTCCAGTGGCCCTGGGACTCAGACAGTCTCTCTCCTGCTCCAGGTCCCCAACACTGTCCTCATCTGCATGGTGATCCTGCTGAACATCGGCCTGGCCATCCTCTTTGTTCACCTCCTGACCTGACCCTTGTCTACCAGGTGTGGCAGAGGAGAGGATGAAGGGTAGGAGCCCAAAGGGAATCAGGGGATGGGGGCAGGAGGAGGGGTCTACTCTGTTCCAGGAATCTACCTATCCAAGGTTAATTAAAGCCCATTCCTAGCAGAAGCAGGGACACAGGGTGTGGGTGTGACAGATCAGATCCATGTGCTCACACACACACTCCACTGGCTCAACATCTGCCGAGCACCTGCTGTCAGGTACGTACTGGGGCTTCACTCCCTCCCTCCCTCCCTCCCTCCCTGGCTGTGCTGGGACTCACTCCTGCCCCAGGCAGTGGGAACAGACCCTTAAGATGTGAGCAGCCCATAGCACGGGAGTCAGAGTTCACACGCCACTCCAAACAGTTCTTGATGCCCTCCCCCCAGATCTCCACAGCTAGACTTAGTGTACCTGGGCTGGTGAGACCCTCCTGTCTCTGCCCTCTGTCTCCCTCTTGCCCCACCTCACACTTTAGAGAGGGAGAAATCCCTGTGTTGCTGATGTGCAAATAGACAGCGGCATATTGGCCTCGTAAATGCTCAGCTCTGTAGGTTCCCAGTGTCACAGGGGACCTGGGGACCCTTTCTGTAGGCAGTGATGACTTTGAGACCCCAAAGATGCAAAGGAGTGGGAGGAGGAGGGAAGAGAAGAGAGGCCTAGCAAAGGAGTAAGCAGACACAGGCAGGCACCAGCCGGCTGGCCTCAAGGCCCAGGGTCGTCTCTGATCTGGGGAGCAGAGGTGGAGCCTTGCCCCGGAGAAGATCCGGCCTGAGGCCTGTGCCCTGCTCGGCAGTTCTGCCTCACAGCACCTTCCTGCCTTCCTCACTCACCCCTGTTCTGTCTCTGCAGAGCCAGGAATTCCACTGAGGATGCCACGACTCATCATCTTTTTGCGATGCCAGGCAGGTGACCAAGGAGGACTGGACTCGACCTGCAGCCCCAGGCCCGGCTCACACCATGCCATGGACATTTTGGGAGCCTCCCGTGGGCCCAAGCTGGGTGTCTGGGCGCCAGAGGAGTAGAGTGTCTGGGAACACTGAAGGAGCACTCTGCCCAGGGACAAGGGAGGCCCCGAGGGAAGAGCCCTGGTCTCCTGAGTTTCCTGATCTGCTGTCCCCCATCCTCATCCGATCCCTCTCCTTGCCCCTCGTCACCCCTCCCTGGGCTTCTGTGTGTTTTAGGAGATGTCACCTAAGCAGGGTGTTAACACTGAGTCCCTCCCTTTTCCTCCCACCTCACTCCCACTTTAATCCTCTGCCTGGTGGACTGAGGCCACCCAGGAAGCTGAGAAGTTGCTGAAATGTCTCAGACAATCCAGTCTTGTGCAGCACGCTGTCCCAGGCTTACAGTTGCTCTGGATGACATGGAGGAAATGAACAAACTCAGTCAAATATGCCAGTGTGCAGTGCTCTGCCTCCCCCACCTGTCCTGTTGGCTTCCCTCCTGGCCCAGCAGCACAGGGAGACATACCTGTAAAAAGTGGGAGCCTTTCACTGGGAAGCCACTGAGCAGGGACAGAGGTGGGTTGGGAAGAAGGGTAGGGTGCACTTGTGCTGGCCCCTGTTTTTGTGTGTGTGAGCCTGCAGCTGGGGGTAAATTTAAGGCTGTCTGCTCAGGGTTTCTGTGTAGGAGCCCTGGGGCCAGCAAGGTACAGCAGCTGTGATGCCCTATGAATTGGTTTGTTCCCTCCCTGACCAGGGCCACTGTGGACTCAGGGGAGCATGGCATGGAAGCCCTGGCAGTGTTGCAGACTCTCAGGCAGGTGCTGAAAGAAAAACATTTCCCAGGAGTAGAGGAGCAAATCTGAGCTCCAGCTGAGTATGGTCTGTGCAGTAATAAGCCCCTTTCAGTTTGCCAGAAGATGATACTTGCATGTAGCTCACTTAAAGATGTTTGTACCACACTGAGCCTCTGCTCCTTGGGCTCCCTAGGAGAGGTGTAAGGGCTGAGGGCTTGAAGCTCCTGCCTCCAGGAGCATGGAAGAAAAGAGCTTCCAGGCTGCTCCAGGCCTGGGGAAGGATGGGGCAATGGCATCTGAGCAGAGGTGGAGGGAGTGACTGCTCTTCCACCTTTGTTTCTGTGGACCTCAGGGGCTTGGGTATGGGGGGCCAGGCTCTCCCCAGGACAACTCAGGACCTGAGTGTTTGGGGTCAGCTCTTCCTTTTACCCCTCAGCCCATGGTAACTTTCCCCTCCTGCTTCACAGTTGCTGTTTCCAGCCTTGCTGGGGCCTCTTGGCTTGGCTGGAACCCTGGGCTGCCGTTCTGCAGAGAGGAGCCTGCAGGCGCTCCTACCCCAGCCAGCTACGGCATGCAGGGCTCTGCATCTGTGCTTGGGCTTTTCTGGACTCCTAGGGAACGAGGCGGGTGGGTGGGGGCTACTCAGGGCTGACAGGCTGCAGGCCTCAGCTCTGAGGTTATTGTTCTTGTTTCCTGGGCCTGGTCCAGCGTTGGGGACCAGCCTGTGGCTACCAGAGCTGCTGGGACTAATTTGGGGCTGGTGTTGGGGTGTGGGTTCAGGATGCTGAGTCTGTGCGATAATAAACCTGTGTCTGCTCACAGGCTCGGGCTGGGCTGTCGTGTCTGCTTGTGATGAGGCCCCTGGTGAGGAGTTGCTGAAGGAGGGCGGGAGAGGCTGAGGTGCTGGGCCTTGCCGTCTGTGTCCTTGTTCCCTGAGGAAGTTCCCATAATGCTTCTTTTTTTCCCCTATAATGCTTCTTGAGGGGCAGCTGAGGGGCTCCAGTTCACTCCCATGGTGGAGTCTGTTTCTAAAGCTGACTTCCAGAAGCTCCTTTGAGCAACTTTTGGTAGAAGCGAGAGCCTGCCCTTTGGTGTGACAGTGCCCTGGACTTCAGTCCTCACTCAGACACTGTCACTTCTTGGAGCCTCAGTTCGTTCATCTGTAAAATGGGGTCATAACACTGCTCACTTCCTGGGGTGCAAGTGAGGGTTAAACCCTAAAGCTTATGTAAAGCCCGGCTGTAGAAAGCAGCTGAGAAGTTGTCACAGTACTGTCACTAGTTCCCTCACCCACCATGTTGCATTTTGATGGAGGACCCAGAAACCCCAAAGGGGTGGACATGATTCAGGCACCAGCTGGTCACAGAATGCCTCGGGAGGGACCGTGCCATCCCCACACTCCAGGAGGCTCAGGGGCGAGGACCTGCCCACGGCACACGCCTCAGTTCCCTGGCTTATGTGGGAACAAGTACTGCCCATGACATCATCTCACGGCTGGTGGCCACAGCAAGAGGGTAGAGGGACAGTGCCTGTCACCCACCAATGGGCTCCAGTTCGGTGGTGGTCACCGGCAGTGAGGGTTGTCTCTCCAGTGCCATCACTGACTCACCACGTCCGGCCTTTCTGAGCCTCTTTCTCTTCTGCCAAGGAGACCAGAATCCTTGTCCCATGGCTCTCCTCCCTGGCAGTGAAGTTATGACAACCCAGTGAGGTAGATTCCGGGTGAAGATGTTTTTGCAATTCTGGGATGACCCCTGGGCCCCCAGGAAGGAGGTCGGGCTTGCGGGAACCCCAGAGGGGCAGAGGGAGTGGGAAAGCAGAGGGAGAGGCTTTGGTAGGGTCCATGGAGGGGAAGTGGGTGCCTGGTCTGCAGCCTGGCTAGGCTGGGGGCTGAGTTGGAGTCGCTGGGTGCCCTGAGAAGACCACTTCCTGAGCAGGGACTGGAGATGCCCAGTCAGGTATGGTTGGTTGTAGTTGGGTGGCCCCTGGTGGTTAAGTACGTAGCCTGGCTGTTGCCTCTTTCAAGGGATTAAAGCAGCTCGAATGGGACCCTTGAGCTCCAGCCTGGCCTGGGATGGTTCTCTGTTTTCCTGCGTGACATTGTGTCCCCCTCCCCCCAACTCCTACATGTGCTTCTTCCTTGATGCCATCCACCGTCAGGTCCTCATCAGAGGACTTTTTGAGGCCACGTGATCTTTGACTTACAGCCTTCAAAACTGTAGGCCAACTTTTATAAAGTTAGCCTGCCTCATGTATATCATTATAGTAATGAGCAAGCCATGCTTATTACAGGCAAAGGACCTAAGTTAGAACCAGCTGAAGGAACAGTGTGCGTAGGGTGGGAGCTGGGGGAGTTCAGTGTGGGGTCACTTCAGCATGGCCTGTGATTTTCTAGGGAAGGGCCTGCTGTTTGAGGGGTTCACCTTCCCCCAGAAGCTGCTCCTTGGTGATGATTACAGTTGCACCATGTTGTACACATTCATAATATGTGTGAGAGTTTTTCAAGCCTGCCAAAATTTGGACATCTCTCGATTTGCCTGGAGGAGAGCCAGCCTACTGTGGGTTGTGGTCTGAGGATAGTGTTTTCTGGTCAAGTAATATGGAACAAAGTCAAGTTTGCAAGTATAAGACAGTGATTGGGAGCTGTGAACTACCCAGGTCTATCAGCTATGCAGCATCAAAAGCCACGTGAACTTTGTGACAATGTAGCAGCTATTTATTGAGCTCACAATACTGCACGATGGTAGTTTGGGTTAGTCGTAGCTGGGCAGTTAGGAATTCAGGTCGAGCTGGCTTAGCTCCACAGGAACCCACTCACGCCTGAAGTCAGTTGCTGAAGAGGCAGGTGGTTCCTGACATCAGCTGAAACACCTTCCTCCTCTTCTTCTTCTTCTTCTTTTTTTTTTTGGTACCAGAGATTGAGCTCAGGACCTTGTGCTTGCAAGGCAGGCAGCAGAACCACTGAGCTAAATCCTTGGCCCTGCACCTTCCTCTTCTCTCCCGGTTCTACCACAGGCTGGCTGGGCTCACTCTCGTGGCAGCAGGGTCCCAAGGGCTAGAAAAGAACAAGCTCTGACATGTAAGCACTTTTAGTCTCTGATTGTATCTTGTTTGCTACTGTCCCATGGGCCAGAGCAAGTTGCATGGCCAAGCAAGGAGTCATTGCCAGAAGCACGAACATAATTAGGGCCATCATTACAAACTGTATAAAATACCAAGCAACAGCTGACTCCAGGCTTTCTCCATTGGTGTAATAAAATAACTGAGGCCAAGTACTTTATAAAGAAAAGAGATCTAGCTTACAGTTTGGGGGGCTGAAACTCCAAAATCAGGGAGTCCCATCCATTCAGCCAATGGCAAGGGCCTCAATAGATGCTGAAGAGATCGCATGGTGAAACAGGAAGCCAGAGGGTTTCAGGGGTCAGGCCTACTCTTTATGTCAACCCACAACTAACTGGGGTCTCATAAGGAATATACGAACATCTCCAAGGGTGATGCCCCCAACTACCCAATCCCTTTCCCCTAGGACTCAACTTTTTTTTTTTTTGGTACTGGGGATTGAATTTGGGTCCTTGAGCTTGTGAAGTTGGCGGCAAAACCACTGAGCTAAATCCCCAGCCCTAGGACTCAACTTTTAAAGCTTCCATCACCTCTACTCTCCCACACTGGGGACCAAACCTCTAGCACATGAACCTTTGGGAGACCACACTCAACCAGATCCAAATATTTCCCTGCTTCAGACACTGAATTAAATGAAGTTACCCTTGTACATAGTGAAAAGGTCCAGAATATGATAGACACTCTGAGTTAGCGCTCATTATTATCAATAGTATCATTAACATCACTATTACTACCAGAGTGACCAGAGGCTCAGGCACAGAGTTGTTGAGGACTAGCAAAAAAATTGGTAGCTTAAATTATCTATCTCAAATACATGTGTTGAGAATGATATTTTCAGTATGTGAAATTTATATAAAATCTTAGACATGCAAAGCAGTAGTACCTACTGATTTTGCATATTCACATCTGTGGTAAATTAGTTTTAAACAGTGACTGGAAATCATGAACTCAAGTCATTGGCTACTTAGGGAGAAGGGTGTGGCTAGAAGGGCACACAGGAGCTTCCGTTTTGAATGCGTAGAGCTGAGATCTGACTGAGCTGTGGCTGAGCTTGGTGGAGGTCGCTCAGGCAACCGTCGGATTCTTTTTGGTACTGTTCATTTGCCTGAGACATTTCGGAAATGGAGATTGTTTGACCCACAGATTTAAACATATATAGGATGAGCATCTCTTAATCCAAGCAGCCCGAATCATCTGAAACTTTGAGCACCGGTGCCACAGTTGAGTGGGCCCAAAATAGTCCAGGCTCTTGTTAGGACAGGGAAAGAACTGCCAAATGTACACCTCATAGTAGTAAGTGGCTACATTTATTGAAGATCACGGGAGGGTAGCAGGAACAGGGAGAAGGGCGACGGGAAAGACAGAGTGAAGGGGAAAAGGGACTCAAGTGGGAAGGGGAAAACAGAGACTCAGTAACTCAGGCTTCTGGTATTTATAGGGCCAGACACCACTGATCCAAGGCACCTGTCTCTCTGTCTCTCACGCCAGCAATCTGCAAGACCTCCTAAGCTTGAGCCTGGATAATCATCAGGGTGGTGTTTGGTTTCTGGCTGAATGGAAAGAAGGGAAGTGGCTCCCACAACTTCCCTGTCTTTGGGTTATGGAGACATGGATAATCAGTAGGGTGGTGTGGCATTTACAGTTGAATGAAGGGAAGGGAGAGACTCAGCTCCTTTCTTTCTAACTGTACTACCAACATATGCCATGCCGCAGACCAGCTGCAGTCCGTGCAGGGTAGGAAGGGGAGAGGTCTCGGGCGGCGAGTGAGAAAAGGACCTTCGCAAGCAGCTTCCCTCTGAGAAGTCTCAGGGTCTGATTTATTTTTATATCTTTAAGCAATGGCTAGGAGGCATTGGGCGGAACATATTTACATTTTAGGTTGCCTTAGCAATTTCTATAGAAATAAAGGTTATTTTTTACTAAACAAAGTATATTTTTCCTAAGCTGATTCA